CTGACGGGGACCAGAGAAAGGCAAGACCCACACAGAATGCAGGGCACTCTAATGCGTGGTAACCTTGGAATCTGAAGTAGATGTAAATCGAAGGTTTATGATTTGCATCAGTGTACAATCCAGACTAAGGTTAACCTAAAGAGGAAATTTAAGGAAGTCTCAAACCAACATAAATTTTTGTCATCTCTGCGGATCCTTGTGCCCAGACTGGTCAGGCTTTTAGAGGCACAGATCCTAGCCCTCCAGTGCTCAGAGTCCACACTCATACTTAACTAACTAGACCGATTGAGAAAGTTTGGGGACCAAACATTGGTGTAATGGAACTCTGTCGGTGGGAAAGTCAGGTGAGCTGAGGAAAAGATACCAAGGACACCCAAATACCAAGTGATGCTTCCTGCGAGTATAAACAGTTTTCTGTTTACATCTAGTACTCTGGAAAATTCTCTATACTGTGGTCAGATCTGTGAACGCCACAGTGCCTGGCTGGCTATCCCCCAGCAGGATTTCTTTTAACCGCTACGTTTTTGCCCTGTGGTTTTAGATGTTATCGGACTGATGTTTAAATGTATCTAAAGTGACCCTCAGTGTCCTGTCTAGTGTCATATCACTCAGCATAAACAATGCCAAGAAAAAAGGTGCTGTGAATATATAAAATTAGAAAAAATGTAAAAGAATGTGAATGTGCATATGTGGGTCAGGGGAAAACTACTGAAAAGAAGTGACAATACAGATTATTTTTCTCTTAAATTCTTCCTAATTTCTAGACAAATTTGAATATGCATATAAACTGGGGATATCTTGAGAAATTATAGAATTTAAATTACATCTGAAAAATTCACTTTTATAATAAAACCATTGACTCATAGACAAGGAGAATTTGGGAATTTGCCTAGTGCCCCTCTCTCAGTTACACTGCATTCAAAACTTCTTAAAGAAGGGATAAACACTTCATTCGTTTCCCTTCAGCCGGAGCTCTTAAATTCTTAGGAATGAACAGTAACAGAACGGGGGCCTCTGTCCAAATCTTGGATCAACTCGGCTCTGGTGCTTTCCCTAGGCTACCTGAGTTCAGTTGCTTTCTTCTCTCCTTCTCCAGGGAAGAATGATGACAATTCTTCTTTCCGTTTAATTCTTCCCAAGCTTGTTGGAAAGAGCCATTAGTTTATGTTTTATTCTTTATGCCTGTAAGATCTTGGGATGAAACACTCTCAATAAACCACAAAGCCTATTACTATTTTAAGTACCTGCATCTTCTGGGAGAAGCAGCACACTGGCTCCCTGCAGGAGAAATAAATGGAGTTAGCTTTCCGGCTGGCACACTGTCTTTAGGAAGAGATTTAAAAAGACACAGATCTTCTTGTTCTGTCTACTGCAGAAAATGTGTCTAGATCTAGTAAAGCAAAGCACAAATTTCAGAGGAGTTACGTGTTCCACACTCCGTGTTACACCGATCGTTCTTTGATTTTGTTTTTTGGTCCAAAAGAACAAGCTCTGAACACAAAAAGGAGAGGATACTAGGGTGTTGATAAAATACATTTTTTAAGGTGTGTGTAAGAAGAAATATGTTCTTTCTCTTATTTTAGTGTCTTCTTTCGTGGCTGTGAAGGAAAGAAAATGATTTTGGCTACCTGCATTTCAAATGATAATGTGTAGTTTGAGGGAACACCTGGCACTTGTGAACAAAACAGCATGCAAAAATATTTTGTTCTATTTTTCCATTGTAATCTCTGAGATTTTTTTTTTTTTGTCTTTCTCTTTGTGTTCTTGTCAAGACTGACAAGCATCCATGTGTTACCAAGTGACATGAAGTTCTTGCTTGAATAATCATGACGAAAATCCAGGATATTTCAAAGCATGTTATTGACTCAGAGAACCACCCACTAGATCGAATTTTTCTGAATTAACTCTGATAGCATCAGCAGGTAGTGCTTTTACCTCAATTGTTGGGTCCTCCCATGTCCCTACCGTACCTCTGTTGTTAGCATCCTCATTCCAGAATGTTATGAGTTATATTGCTAAAATGTTTTTTTTTTTTTTTAAATTAATGTTCAGAAAAACTGCACATTTGGGAAGTAAACCAAGTCAAAAAGCAGACTGTAAGAAAAGGGACTGAGAGTTATTTTTATCTGAAGTGGTGTCATTGTCTTATTGACCTCCCTTCAGGGTGGAGCCTACACAATGCCATTGCTGGGAGTGAGACAGCAAAAGTCATGGGACACTTAGAATGGAAGCAGCGGTGGTTTTAATGAAAAGTAATGATACTTTTTACTCAGCGTATATTGAGGTTCTTGGGAAGACAGGTGACATTCTTTGATGAAAATTGCTGAAAGGGTCACTATGTTGGGGTATGCTGAACATATGGCCTTTAGTTTTTTTTCTTCTGCTTCCTGCTATACAGGGGTGGCTCCAAAAATTCTATACAGGAAGGGCTTAGAAGCCGCATTCTTTTGGGAAAGGGGAAGGGAGGGAGGGGACTTGCATGGAAGCTGCATTTGCACAACAAGGCCTCTGTTTTCACTTAGATGCAATTTTTTTTCTATTTTTTTTTTTTTACAGTGGTTTGGCTAATCACCTTCTCCTCCCTCTCCCCCAAGCAAATGAACCCTTAGCGATGCCCTAAGACCAATTCCTTGGGCAATGCAATTCCCATCTTTTTTTTTTTAATCTTATGAATTCATTTATATTTTTTAAAAAGCCATGCAATTATTGCAAATTTACTGCTCACGGGGTTCATCAGCAATTACAACTTAATTTTCAAAATAGGCACACATATGTATTAAACCACTGAACTACTTCACTAATGTAGTGAAATGTATCAAACTAAAAACTGATGGAGAATATTGGCCTGATTATAATCATTTCAGAAGAACTTGTTTTTCAGAGGGACCATGCAAAATAATAATGCTTTTTACAGTATTTTGCCGATGCTTTCCTGAAGGATGCTTATGTTCTCTGCACAACATGAAACTAAGCTTTGAAACAATTCCTAGGAAATTGTTAGAATGGTCAATGAGCAATTCATCAGAATTTTCTTGAATTTTTTTATGACACCTGGATTATATACATTCCTATAATGAGATCAAAGATTCTAATCATTTTCACAGGGACAAAAGATTCAAATACATATGTATTCTATTCACCAAAATTTCCTCTGTGGTTTTTATAAAGCACATTAGATGAGTCAAGTATTGCAAATACTTTGTTATCAAGCAGATTAAGTGTAGTTTCGTGCAACATAGTTTACAGTCCCATCTCTGGTCTGGCCTGCTTTCTCATTAGAGTGTGCGACACTGGTGCCACTACTTATTGGGAACTGGCCTTTTAATCAGGGACTCGCAATCACTTACGAATTATCAGTTCTCAATTTTGCATATTTTCAATCTTATCCCTTTTTTCTAATCTGTGTTGGGTAGCCTTCGCCTTGGCGAGATCCTGGACATCTCGTGCAGTTTGGTGTAGATGCAGTCTCGGCTTCAGGGGCAGCCATTTGATTATTTCTTCAGGCAGAATTTGAAATTCTCATCTTCTCAGCAATTCTCCAACCTCTTTAGGGCACTATGGTAATGTCCCTGGACCAGTATCTTTATACTTTGATTCACTGGCACTCGATGTTGTCTTGGGTTTACTCATTTCTAGTTACTTTCATAGCTATTATAAATAATTTTCTTCTAAGCACTTCACTATTCTCTTACAGCCTACAGTGGTTATTAACTGTTTTTCTACTTTATAAGCAGCTCCTAACCCCATTTTGACTATTTGTAAACATGATTTTCTTTAATTCTTAGCTTCTTAATCTTAAAACCCCCAACTTCTTTTTCCATCCTCTTTAAAAAAAATAATAAAAAAAACCTGTCTCCCCTTGTATTAGGCATAATATAAATGCTTGAATTTTATATTTTCTCTAGGAATCATTACTATATTATGCTTACACATAATGTCTGTCTTGTTGTAAACTTTGAAAGTACAGATTATAAACATTAACTTATTCTGCACAGCACTGAGCACAATGTCATGATCACTTAAATGCTTTTGATGACAATGGTGATGACGATGACAACGTAATGCTGTTCTGGTTTGAAACTATCACATAGATGGTCCAGTACATCTTTTTTTTTTTTTTTTTTTTAAATGTGAGTTGTTCCTCATTCTATAAAGCTGTCATTCTTCATTAGTAAAAAAAGGTTACAGTAAGTTATAATTAGTGTTTAGTGCCCTGTCAAATAATTAAGTATAATAAAAAGCTTTCAATGAGTTTAATGTTAACATGGTATAATTAAAGCCAAGTCTTGAAATGCATTAGGTGTCTGTTATGTCAGATATTTGAGGCTTTTTCCCTCTACAGATGAAATTTTCAAATTGTGCTTATAGCGATGTCATCATCAGAGACAAAAACTCACATCACTCAGATTCAAAATGGGCTTGACAGTACCCAGCAAGGGCAAAATTCAGAAAATAAATCACTTATGCAACCCTCTTATTTACTGATAAAGAAACTATGTCTCAAAAATATTGTGACTTGCCCAAGGTCACACAGTGGTTAAGTTCATTCTTCCTTGATAGTAAGGATTGAGGTTTGGGGTTGTATTAAAGTGATGATTATTATTACCATCATTATTTCTTTCTGAAGTTTAAGATGTCTGCTGCAAAAATGTTTGTCTCTTTCCTGATGGGTTGAAAAAAAGACGTGTAAAGTAAAAGAACATAATTTGTATTTAGCTCTCGTATTTAATAGTCATTTTAGGATGCAGGGCTTGTCATAGCGCCTATTTTAAGGCTCAAATACAGAGACAAGGCTGAAATCTCACCATTTTCTCATCAGAATAACTGGAATGTGCCTAGATGCTTGGCCGTTTTAACCCTGCATTCTTTGAGCTTCTCAGGCCTTCTCTTGTGCATGTTCTATTTTTTCTGTCCACAAAGATTTTTAAAAATCAGCAGAGTACAAGTAGCCCCTGAAATAAAGGCGTCATTCAAGGAACAAAGAAGTAGAAGAAGGGCTGCAATTAAAATGATGAAAATCTTTAATTTTTATTTAGGTATACTTATACGGACACGTGTATATACAAATACAGATCGTATGGGTTTGTTTGTGTGTGGGTTTTTTTTTAAATTTTTTTTTACATTTTCTTTTACGTTTATATAATGTCAGCATTTCAAAACGGCACTCGATGAGTAAGTGCAAAGGAACTGCAAAGCAGGGCAGTACAAGTACAGGACCACACGGAGCTGGACTTCACACCCAGACGCACACACAATGAGTGGCTTCAATGGGGTGTCAGGAGTAAGCATGAAGAGCGGATTTTGACTCATGGGTAACCTCCAACATGCCAGCATCTATTAAACTGTACAGACAATGGGAGCAAGCCCATTGTAGGGAGATTTGTCTCACATCCGAGCAGCTCTGGGGCAAATGCATGGGAAAAACTCAGTGATGCCAAACCAGAGACAGACCTGTCCATTCACGGTTCTGAGGGAAAACAGAATGTGGGAGGAAGGCTAGAGACAAAAAAAATAAACATAAGAAATAAAGAGGGGTTGTAGGCAAACGGGGTGTTGGCGGAGGTGGTTTTCAAAAGCAAATCTAGTGACCACAGCTCTGTGGAACAATGAATGGAAGAAAGGAGTTTAAACTGTTTTTCTAATTTGGGGGAAACTAATAAAAATGGCTGCTGCCGTTGCTAAGGCACCAGAGAGAAAGAGTCCCTGGAAATCCGCAGGTACTGTGTGACTCTTCCTTTCACACTGACACAGAAACAGCCCCCATTTAACCTTCCTCAGTGGACTGTTTGCAGTCTTTCCCATGTGTGGGCTGCGTGATACTGGCAAGACTTCCTGGGAGAAAATGAAACTGTGTGTGAAAACCACCACAAAGAGAAAACCAAACCTAAGTACAGAACCATTTCTAAATTCCCTAAGCTTTTCCAAACCAACATGCTGAGGATTGCGGAGGGGCAGGGGACACCATAGGGCTCCAACATCAGACCTTGAAAACATTGAGGACAAAATATTGATCAAAAGTCATGTTGTTCCAGGTCCCAAGATGGTGGAGTCTTAAGATTGGGAGGACGATGACCACATATGAGTCCTGTATGGAGCAGTGTCTTGGCCATTTGTGACTCTTCTCAAGCAAGTATACATTGGATGTATCATAGCCTCAATGCATGTTTTATATCCTGAAAGACTATTGTTCTCACTTACAAAAGACATAAGAATCAAATTAATACTTTATTATCAAACACTATATACAACAGAGGTTGCTAATAATACAGAATTTAAAGAACGCAGTGTTTTTTTTTTTTTTTTTAATGTTTTACTTTTCTTTCCTCTGCCACCCAAGAAAGTACAGTACAAAACAATAGTCTAAACTAACACCAACTGTTACCTGGTCTATTAAAGGATACACAGTATCCACTAAACAGACAGATCCTTTTTCCCTGCTTCATGTTGCAAAGCCCTTGGCAACCAGGGGCAAAGGTCGCTGGGGTTTGACTAAATGGGGCTGAGAGGCAGCTAAGTATGCCCTTCAGACTTCTGAATTGTTTTTGAAATTTAAAGCTGCTACAAAGTTGCATTGACATCCTCCTAAGCCCCCAGAGGGTTGTAACATCACAAAAGGCCACCAGCACTTTTTGGACAAGATGAAAACTGTCTGTGCCAATCTTCTGGAAAACTCCATGGCAATTATTACCAACATTTACATCATTTATACGTAGAGGAGCACACTGTCTACTGGTGTGGATAGTCTTGCTATTTTTTTTTTTCTTGATTTGTAGTGGCATGATGGTGAAGTAAAGGGGTCTAATTTCACTGTGAAAAATGAAAGACAATGCCAGAGAGGGCCATGAGTAATTATTTCATCATTTGTTAGAGACAAATGCTAGAAAAACCACAGAAGTCACCATTTCTAAAATGAAGTTAGCACTGCTAATGTAGTTATGACTAACTGGAATCATTATAGGATCATTTGATTTGCTTGTGGTTATAGAACATGCAGTATTATTTCGGTTCTATTGATCCATATTTGAAGGTATCTCCCCCGCCACCCCCACCCAAATCCCACTGGACCAACAAGCTTGTAACTATTAATAAAAAGAAGCATTAGATATTACTGAGAGTACTGAGCATATAAATAGTAAAGGAAAAAAGAATCCAATGCTGTGAACTTTTGTTTCAGTGAAATGGTGGCTGCCTTCTGTGATAAGACTCTGCCACTCCAGAGAAGTTCCTGATGTCTGGGGAATAGGGCTGATTGCATCTGCAAGGCTGGCAACCCCACTCACTGTCCCGGTGTGAACAGACCCAGCACTAACATACACTCCAAATGGGTCAGGTAAGCCCACATTACATTTCATCATGTGTACAACTCTCTAGGCTGCAGTACCTTTACAATTGCCTTTCGTTCACATATTTTTCTAATTCAGAACTACTCCAATTTTTAGCCAATTCCTATTCATGGAATCAGTCCACAATATGACCCCCTTATTAAAACATACATTTTTTTAAAAAATGTATTTTAAAAAACATATTTTTCTGGAATCCTTCCAACTTTTCACATCTTACATGATCGTCGTATCATATTTTTGTTTGTTTTGAAAGGCATTTTCTATTGATATGTCGTGCAATAGCAAAAAAAGGCAAGATTTCTTTACCATTGATTGGACACTTTTCCCTGTCTAGGCTTTGGAGTTCAAAGTTCATGTCAGCCTCACCAGTAGAAAGCCCCAAGGCTTGCACTGCCTGGTAAGCAACTGGAAACATCCCTTGCTGACCATGCTAAAATTCCTTAAACAAGGTCATCCTGCACTATTCATCCTTCTGCCCCACCCCCACAATGAAACAAGATAACCCCCCATATTTCTAAATGTATCAAGGGATACCACTTTTTCTCACAAGTTTAAATAGGACAAGCATATATACTCACTCTCAGCATAAAGTATATCTAAATAATGTATTTGCTATTCTAGTGGATTTTTAAAAAAATATTTTGTTAAAGTCTTTGGGACTCCATCTTGTTTATCTCCCACAGATAAACACATGTTCCCCCTACGCTTCAGGCTGTGTCAGAAAGGGAAAGAATATAAAATCAACACTTGAATCTTTTTATTCCAAACTCTGGAATTTTTATTCCAAGTTTCCCTTTAGCCCTCCCAAGTAGTGGTGACTGACTCTCCGGTGACAGGGGTTTGTGTGTGAGCCCCTGTGCTTATGGAGCAAAACATGGGTACTGAGGGCGGGAGTCGGGGAAAGGCCACAGCACACTGGCGCTCCAGCAAAGCCAAATCACGTCTCCTCGGGCCACTGACATCTTTTCCTTGGTACATGTCGTGCCCCAGAGGAGTATCCAAAGCTATTCCATATGCATTCATCAACCCTGGCTTGTCAGCCTTGGGGAAGGTCACTTTATTCATAAAAATGCCTCTTTGAGTTTCTTTTTTTTAAAAAAAAAAAAAAATAGTTGTAGCACCATGGTGATCTGTATTCAAAGGGAAAAAAATCTGGTGTACACTGTCCAGTCACCAAAAAAATTAGAGGCACTCATACATACATACTCCCACCAAACTTAGTTTTCTGATTTCACACTTGCTCTGTGCTAGCATTCTGGCACCATACCTGCCTCCTCGAAAAAGGGCATCTTTTATGGAGCACAGGTTTTGCTGTCAAGAATGCTTTAAGACAGTCATCTTAAAGAAAAAAAAAAAAAAACCAGTGTCTCAATCTTTCAGAAGCCTGTTCAATTATATACTCCTAGAGGAAATGGTGTAATATTATATCAATTCTTAATACCTCCCTCCTGGACCTGACATGGTGACATGATGCCCTGCGTGATTATCTTACAGTCCTGAATGAGAAGGCATAAATATTGTATGGGAGAGTAAAACCCTCCTGGGCCTCACCATCACTGGCTGCATCTGCCACTATTCTTCCTTGTCCACATACTGCTGACACAGTGTGCTGACGGAAGTGAGCTCTTAGAGAATGCACAGGAGCTGATGACCACTGGTGTCACTACAACAATTTGGCATTTTCATCTGGAGTCCATTTAATTTGGAAGGGCTGCAAAAAGTCAAGGGCAAGGGCTGGGGGTGGGGTGCGGTGAGGGAGGCAGCAACTACTTTAGCCCCCACCCTGGCCCCAAGTTGTTGCTTAGAATTCAGGCTGAAAGAAAACAAAAATCTGACATCTGCCAAAAAAACAATAACAAGTCCCTTCTTGGGATGAGCAGTTAGGTGGATCTCTGGTGTTCCAAGACCCTGATGTTTTCTGTGACAGGTGACGGGAAGAGACTGTGCTATAATGTCAAAAGCATCGCCAGGAGGAACAGTAGGATTGCCAAAAGGCGGCTGGGTATCCTTGGTGTTTGTGCCGCGTTCTCGCCGCGGGATGGCTCGGCTGACTCATGTACGGTGTCATCTGTTCAAATAGAAAGCACACATTCCAATGAGATTTCACATCCTTAATAACTCTCTTGCAGCAGCCTGCTGTTAACAGACCTCGCCACCCTCTGCAAAGTAAGGTAATGAACCTTGTGCCACCATTGACTTTCATGTCTGCATAATCACTCATTATTTACAGCAAACAAAGGAGAGGCAGAGAAAATTGAACCTTCTCAGTAATATTAATAGTTTCCTTAAAAACTGAGGGAAGAATTGTGCGTACCCTATAACCTTTGGCATACGAGCTACTTTGGTTTCCTAGCAGTCAGAAGCACCTTGCACAAACTTGAGATAATGTATCTTTTAAACCCAAGATGCGTGGATGTTTGGGGTTGGGAGCAGTTATGTTGGCATATTAGTGGTTAAGCAGAATGGGCTGCCCATTTTCTTCTTTTTAGCCATTTCTTAGCATTAATGCTGAATGCATGGTTGTTGGATGCCTAGACAAATTTTCAAATATGAAACATTAAATACTAAAACAGTAGCATTTAAAGTAAACTATACATAATGCCCACTAAACTTGAATAAGCCAGTGCCTACGAGTTTGTTTACAATTAGGCATCAATTATGGTGCTATTTCCATTATAAGCCTTGGATTAAATTACTTGAACTTAACTGTTTTTATTTTTATCAGGCTGAAACTTGGCCCATAAATTATCAGCATGGATGCAAATCTTCCTTTAAATAAAATGGATTAAGTGAGGTAAGCTACTTTTATTTAGCTGTCAAGGGTTCTGAGAGGGTGCCTCTGACTTTGGATAGCCTTCCTGAACTGCATGATCAACAGGCTTAACTTGAAAACAGGAACTTTGCTGCAATTAGTACCCAAAGATAGACTGGAGGCTTACCTCCGAGCCATGCTGTGCTCTAGTATCACACATCTTCCTTCCACCTGGCCTAACTTGTGCTTTTAGATTAAGTGATCTCTGAATTACATGTACTTAGAGCCAACAGTAGGGTTCTGTGGTAGATTTTATTATAGTATCTGGGGACCTTCCTGTGGGAACTCAGCAGTTGTCATTCCTGACTTTGCTCAATGGTCAGTCAGAGAGGATGGTGACAAGTGAGAGAGCTAGTAGTTATCAATTTTGTAGATCTCAAAGGATAATATCTAATTATCCCTGAATGACCAACTTCAAACCTCTTAATGGATTAACTATCTGTTGTTTTAAACCCCTTTGTTTTCATACCACAGAACTTGTCACAATAAGGAAGCTATTCACTGGGTGGAGTCATTCCCTCTTGTCTTAAAGTGACTACTTTCCAGCCCCACCCCCCCGCTTTAGATATGCTCATGTGGGCTGTTTCTGTTCATCACATTCATTCCCAGTGTGAACTAAGAAATGTTTCCTCAGCATTGAGTCTTCTGCCCTGGAGTGCTCCGTTATGCGAGCCTGTCATCCTATAGAAGCTGCCGCATCCCTAGGCCAGATTCGCCCCCCTCTCTTGGCCCTTAGCAAACCTGCACAGAGTGGCTGTTAGTGTAGAAGACTAGAAGAAAAGGTTAGGAAGCAAGACTGGGAAGTTAAGTAGATGCAGAGGAAAATACAAAGCCCCTTACCCACATGGTTTAGCCAAATACTAGCGGACTCCTCTGTTCTTTTTGAGCTTTGCAAACGGATTAAGTCTGTAGCTAACAGGATGTAGATGTAACTGCTCTTTAACAGCCCTGAAATTAAAATCCAAATCACTTTCTTAAGAGCACCAATATGTTGTCAGTCAGAACAACAGAGTAGTTCAGGCTTAACTGTGAAGGAACCATAAACCGCAAGGATTGCAGAGTTCATTTTGAAATACCAGTTGTATTTATACACCTGAAATTACATCAGCTATTGGGTTCTCCACCTTACTAAGCTAGGACCTAGTCCTCTTCCTCGTAAAGGCTGGAAGTGTACTTCTAAAAAGTACCTAAATAACACTTTGGTACATAGTGTGAGCTTGAAGGGGGCTCGCGGCACAAGCCAGCGCGAATGAACCTTGCAGGACATTGAGAGGAAAGCTGTTGCTTTTCATATAAGTGAATCATGAGGCTAAATGTGCTTTTCAGTCCTCTAATCATGGACGACCTTTGGAATCAGCCCTTTTCTAAGCAAGCAGCCAATAGGTACTGTCTTGCCCTCCCTTTAGGGTGTCATGATTCTTCTGTTCTCCCTGCACCACCCTGCTGGTCCTGGCTCAGGATTCTACAAAGCAGCCTTTGATTAAAACGGGGCCTCAACGGTGGGAGAGTCTATGGCCTGAGACGCAAAATGAGAAACGGGCTGCCATTTGGGTAAATCTGAACAATTTCAGAATTCTAAGGAGGGAATTATAAGCAAAATCTATCTCAATGGAAATTACACCTAAACATGAGAGAATTTCTAACCCTCGTAACAGCACATGGGGCTTGGAAGAAAATATTCCTCTTCAGATGCCAAATAGAGTCTTGCCTCCTGGCTACAGGATTCCACAACACGAGGGTTTCAGTGGTTAACTGAGAGGACACTAGCAATATTTTGGAGCATATTATGTGGCATATGTTTGCCCTGAGATCATCCTGTATCCCTGATGATAGGAAACTGGCAGGCAGAGTGTGCAAGCAAACAACAAAGACAAATACATTCCAAAGACAGGTGAATTAGTACACATTGCTGAGAACATGCAGTGGAATCCTTTCAAGCTCACTGGATTCATAAAGTCTGGGTCTGCCCCCAACCATTCAACACAGCAGTGCAGAGCTGCAAGTCTGACTGAATTTTCTAAGGAATAAGGCAAAGTACTCAAATTTATTATTGCCTCTATACAGCCAGGGATCGTAGCTCAACCTTGTCGTACTATTTCTGTGAAGATGCTCACCAGAAAGCCTCAAATACAGTCATGACTGACTCAAGCAGCTTTTCCTGCCTGTGTACCTATGCATGGACACTCCCCACCCTAATCCCTCAACCCTCTCTGGCTACATTCTGCCAAACTTCCATCAGTTACATGTGCGTAGACTTGGGGATCATCGTGGATTTTAAATGCTCAGTGAAAAAGAACCTGTTTCCCAAAAGACAGCGATATAGGCTCGCATATGAATGCATCTTAATTTCTTGTGTTTTATCACTACTTGAATTCAAAGGCAATTTTCCTATTGTGAGAATAGTCCTCAGTGTTTGCCTCTTCATTATCAGAGAAAAACATGCTGTTATGTTTCTAAACAGCCTCTTTTTTTCTTGATAGGCGATGGAATTTACCTGGAAATAAGACTGGAATTTTACGCCTACATTCTGCAACAACGTGCATCGGAAAATAATTCAGAGTAACGTATGCATGTTTATAACATGCCTAATGCTGCTGGTCATTCTATGCATTACTTATTAACGAAGCTAAGAGAGTGTAGTTCTTTATGAACATCTCTAGTAAATGGTAAGAGAGTCCTACTTTTATATTAACATTGGAATGGGAGCTGAGAAATCTGTGTATTCAACCCGGATCTGTCTCTAACTAGCTATGACCCTGTCAAGTCTCAATTATAAAGAGTGTAGACTCTGTGGTCCTTCAGAGATCACATCTAACTTACAGACTCTGTGATGGCCCAGTTCCTCGAGTTTCTGAGGAGCCTGGTATGGTACCTTGAAAAGCCACGGGGATGCTTCCAGATTTCTCGGACACAATTAAAATGGCTCCCCATCAGCACGCATTTCTTGCAACTTTCTAAAGCAGCTAACTGATCCCTGGGGCCTCATTGTACACACCTCTCATTTGCCTTCTGGGTAAGATGCCTGCCCTAGAAAAAAAGACTGCTTGGGGGAAAAACTTAACTCCTCCTGTCAATCACAATGTGAGAGCTATTGTATGTCCTGAGGCACCACATTTACTCAGGCTAAGTTTCCCTAAGGCTCATTGACTGTGTGTCCCAGTAACAATACTCAAAGGATAAAATGGACCTCATAACCCTTTAATTTCTAGAACCTTAAGAAAGAAAAGTCCTACTGCAAGTAGATGAACAAAAGTCTGAGTTTACATAAGGAAAGGGGCCCACATCTTTCTGTGAAGAGGAAATAATTTTCCTTAAGCTTTGAGATAGTCACAGGAGAGGGGTAAGGAAACCACAGGAAGACTAGCATACAGGGGCCACTGAGGCACACCTGTCAAAGGGGATAGGGGGTACCCACCTCTCAGTCAATCTATAGTGACATTATATAGCCAGATCAAATTTATAACCAAATGGATACTTAACACATTTACCTTCTATACAGAATGCTATAGTGTAAATGCTTCAGTGAGTACTTCTGTGGGTTCTGTTTTTTTTTTTTTAGTGATGGGAAAATTTGGGTGTGCGGAAGTTAGGAGAAGAAAAAAATATTTACCCTTAATACTTGTTTTGCCTCAACAATCGAGGATTACATTTGGCTCAACAGACTGCTAAATACATTTGTGGGAGTAGCAGGTATGTGAATTTGTGGTATTAGGAGGCAACATGATTATACTTCTCCAGATCAATTGCTATTGACAACAGCACAAGTAATATTTGAAGTAAAGTGTTCTTTAGATCACTTTAATGATGCATGTGAATTTCTAGAGAAAACTATGTTGAGTTAGTTACTATTGTGTGCATTAATCGTTACTTTTATCTATAGATTTAGACACCATAAAATTTTATAAGCATATACAATAGAAATTTCTTCTGTGTTATATGAAAACAGATCCATTAATATTCACAGTGATTCACCAGCATGCTCGGAGGATATGGTAAAAAGTAGTGAGATTCATTAGTATTCTGATGGGGCTTCTACATTAGAATACTGCATTGTATCACACCTATGTCCAAAAAAGAAAAATCATATTTTATCTCACATGCACTACACGAAGATACTGGAGGAATGAGGTAGAGTATAAGTAATATTAGCATTGCTAGCAATGAGCAAAAAGCAGAGCAACTCTAACATGCAAACATGCGGAGAGGAGAAAGGAAAAAAAGTACTGAAGCACAAGAGAGATGCATTTGTTAAAAGAGATTCTCTAAGCATACTAACCTGCTGGTTCTAATGAATTTTCTACTTTGTCGTTAACATCGAAAACACGATCATGAACACCTATAGTTTTCATACAGCTATCTATAACAAAAATAGAGATAACAGCCAAATATGTTAGTGAAGACACCCTTCGACTCCCGTTTCTTTTTTCTATTTTTCCTTTTATAGAGATTGTTTTACAATCAGTGGCATGTATCCAAATGCCAATATTGTTCCCATTTGCTGTGCACGTACAACAGTCTAAGAAACAACAAGTTAGCAACTGCTGTGTACTTAAAATAAAAGCATCATGAAGAATGATGAGAAAAAATCGGATGAAAACTAAAACATGGATGTCGATATACAAAACAGATATCACACAGGATTTAACAGTAAAGAAGATTTACCGCTCTGAACCAGACCACACAATAAAGCATGCACAGTGAAGCCACCCTCTGAAGCTCATTCGGGTGAACTTACTTGTTGGTCTCACAAAGACTTTGAGCTTTAGACAGGACCTTCTTCCATTATCTGGGATTGCAGAGGCTGTGGATTAGACAGAGCAAAGGGGAGAGGAGAGAACAACAGTTTAGTCTTCATTTTCAAATGCAAATGGTCTACAATAAATTCTTTCCTGAACAAGAGGAGCATACTCTAATTCTTCCCAGCAGTTAAAACAAAAATACTTTTCAGATTGATAGACTGCCACTGAAAGGGCTACTTTCCTACCCCTATCTTCTCAATACAAGAAAGAATCACGCAAGAATGTTGGTAATCTACAGACAATACTCTGGATTTTTATTTCAAAGACTCTTCCATTTAACTTGATCTGTTATCAATTTTCTCTAAAATAAGAAGATAATGCTTGAGCTCTCCTGCTTTCATAGAGCTACTCCACCTCTACTGCCGGAAAAGAGGCCCAGCAGAGCCCAAGGTGAAAGTGCTGGCGAAAACCAATAACAGATAGTTACAAGGCCAACTTAAACATGACCTGTTTCTGCTGGGGAAAGCAAAGCTTTGTCTGTCCTGAAAGCCTGTCTGTCAGTGCTTTGCAGGTAATTCAATTAGAGGTTTTACTCAGAACTTGGCTCCACATTCTATATGACTAAACCGAGCCCAGCAACTTCCATCATGCTATTACAAGTACAATATGCTATTGAGAAAGTACTATGCACTGATACATTTATTTTTAAAAATTTGCCACAGAGAAGGATGGAATTAATAAAGTGGGCTTACCGAAACATGACAACATGTTTCAAGTTATAAATCATTTGAGGAAGAAACTTTCTTCCCCTCTTCAAGAAAATAAGACTATAAACTTTCTCCGCATTTGAAAGATTATCATCTCCCCTCAGTACACACAGCATAATGTCAAAGGGATTTCTAAGGGCTGTAGGACCTTAACAATCACACATGTTTACTAATGCATTCTAGAAATGACAAAAATGACAGAAACGAGCGCTGCATACTTTTCTCCCTGTTAGTTTGCTTCAAGTGGTTTCTTTGTTCAGAAAAAGGCAGATGACATCAATCAAAAAACACATGGCTTACAATTCATTTGGTAATACCTTCAGCGACGAAGACACAACTGGTGTTTGGTGCGCCTTCTCGTTATTTTGACCTTTTACCATTCCTCAGGGGGAGGCCAGAAAACTAAAATGCTTATTTTGCAGGTGAGAGGATTCAAGATGCAAATTCCAAACTAATTTTACACGAATCTCTTTATGTAACTCCAGATCCACGTCCTAGAGAACTTATAAATTCACCACCTAAAAGACATCAAGCTGCAAAGAACCCTTAGTGTTGCTATTCGACACCTGTTGAAAATTCTTAATTATAAGACGAAAAGTTTACAGAAAAGATGTTTTCAGCCCTTCCCATCTCCCCTGTTCGCCCTGACAAGCAGTTAAGAAGTGTTAACAGCTGGCTTTGCTATAGGCTTTCATTAAATCAAAGTCGGAAAAACTCCCTCTACTGACATTTACAGTAACCTAGTGTGTTATTTAGGGCACAATATTTGCACTCTGTGGTTTGATCCAGGAAATGGTGTCCTTCCTGTGGACCCCACTGCAAATGTGCATGTCACAAATACAGTACACATAGGTGACTCCGATTCATTAGAAAAAAACATGGGTTCTTGAGATAGTTTACATCTTATTCATGAAAGGTGGTGTGAAAAAGTGGCACATGGATATTTATACTGCCATTCCATGGATTTCTGAGTTGAGATGAACTCACTACAAGCCTTGTGAACTTGGTTTAGGATAACTTATTTTACCGATGACAGGGCAAGATATAACGGGCTCAAGGCAGAATCAAATGTTTGTTTTAGTGGAGGAACTTCTTGGAATTAGTACAGGTCTTTCAGATTTATATGTAGGAGAAATCCTATAAATCCAGGACATAAAAATCATTGTAATAACGAAATGGCAACAAATAATAAGTTGTCCAGGAAAAAGCTGAAGAGTGTTTTCTCACCAGCTCTCAAAGAGGGACAGTTAGCCTTAGCTACTGGATGAGCTATATTCTTCTGTGAATTAAGACTATAAAATGTACTTATATAAAATAAAAACCTTTATCATCAAACTTCATTAGTTTCTCCTCTCTATCACCAGAAGAGCTGCAACAATGAAAACGTGACTGACACCTCATGATACTGTTTGACTATTATATGCTAATCCTTGAAAAATTGATGAACAAAGACTATAAACACTATGTGAGTATACAATGCAGATTACGTTAAATGCAGATTACATTAAATCAATCTATAAACTGACCTGAGCTCAAGAATTAAACTGTTAACCCTTAGAGACAACCTGAGAGGGTATGCCTGGATAGGTCACTATAGCTTGGGCTTCTTATTTACTACGATGGAAAAAAAAAAAAAAGCATAAAAACGTTTTCCATTTATCAGCAAAACTTAATTTTTTATGCAAGGCTTAAAAAAGTGAGAGTGTGGTTTTATTCCATGTTATGTTACAGGTTTCTTAACCCCACAGCCCTGGGCTGCCTAAAGTAGGGTACCTTTATACTACTTACAAACGTAGATTATTAATTATTAGTACTACTTTAAGTTATAAGGTAATATAAGAGTGCTTTACTAGTCACAAGTAAACAAAAAGCAGAAGATTGAGCATTAAAAACAAAACACCAGAAATTGAAAATGTAATATTCAGATAAGTAATTGTACAAAGAAAATCCTCTCAGGATCAATCTGAGCAGAAGAATGGAACATGGATGTGAGGGAGTGAAAACTTAAAATGTGCCTGGCTTTTGTCAAGAGGTAGGTAATATTCATCCCTATGATTCTATGGTTCTAGAAACATCACTTTGTCATGACCAACATTGGTCTCCATTAAAATAAAATTGATATTTAAGTTCTTTTGCTGCTTTCCTTAGAAAATTAATAATGAACATTTGAAAACTGATAGTGAATAATTACTGACATGTTTATTACTGCAGCTTCGTCCATCCAAACGTTTTTAAAATTCCTACTATGTGCCAGTTTCCCTGATAGGTGCCAAGGTTTGCATGAATTGCCAACACATCTTTGGGGGGGAATTAGCTTTGTCCGGGAGTGTGAGGGCGTCCTAGACATGTTTATCAGAGGGGATTTTATAGAGGCTTTACAGGTCCTCCGGAAGCTAAGCAATAGCAACTGGGACAAAGGAATGAAAACATTTCATCCCCAAGTTCCTAAATTGGAGGTTTGGCAACCAAAAAGAGATTAATTTGCAACAGGTGAAGAAAACCTAGACCCGAACTCTTCCTAGTAGAATTTGTCAAATTAAAATGAGAAATTCAACTCATGTCTTAAACATCTGTCGCACAAGCCAAAGCCATATCCCTTTAACTCAGTTTACTGTTGAAAATGTACATTTCGAGTCAGGAAGCGGGAATAAGGGACTGGGGACCATTAAAGCAAGTACAGCCTCCCACTCCATGATCTTAATAGCAGCTTTATAAATCAATCCACAGGGTCCCTTCCCCACTAATGATCTGCAAAGTACTAATCAAAACCTTACAACACATAATGAAATATAACCTGGGGGCCCTCTGGTTCTCTGTGTTTAGAGTATCACGCTAATAAGACCACGAGGGCTGCTTATCTTCACTCTGTTCCATGACTTCAGACAGGGGCTCTGCGTTCAGCCATTCCTAAAAATCTGTTCCCTTGGTCTCCTGAGCCTCAGGTGAGCACTGCTCAGCACTTAGCAGCCAGTTTGATACATAAAGGGACCACATTCAGTGCCCCCAAATCAGTACTCCCAAAAGCTGTATTTAGGATTGCAAATATGTGATAGTCACGTCACAATTCACGATAGGCCTGTCGATGTGCTTGTGGTAGACAGTTTCTGACCAGACTCCAGTGATCCCCACCCTGCCCGTATGCTGCCTTTGTGTGTTCCCCTCCCCTTGAGAGTACGCTGGACCTAGTTTCCTGCTTCTAATGAGCAGAATTCAGCAAAGGTGATGAGATGTCACTTCTGTGATTATGTTGCAAAAGACTGACTTCCTTCTCACTAGCACTCTCTGTCTTGCTGTTTCTCGTGTTCCAGAAGTGAGGTGTCACTGTGAGATTCTCAATGCAGAGGCCCATGTTGCAAGGAACCGAGCGGAGACATCGGCCAAGAGCGCGCAAGGAACTGAATGAAGCCTTAGTGCAATAACCCGCAAGGAGCCGAGTCCAGTCACGTGAGTGAGCTGGAATTAGAATCCTGCTCAGCTAAGCCTTGAACTGACTGTCGCCTTTGTGAGAGACCCAGACCCACAGGACCCAGCTAAGCTGCCCCTGGATTCTTCACCACAGAAACTGTGAAATGATGTGTCATCTTAACTATAAGTTTTGGGGTAATTTGTTACTCAAGAGCTAACTGATGCAACGCTGCGTACAGACAACTCGTGCTCTCAAAGGCTTCCCACAGTGACTTGAGACCTAAGGCCTAAGGCGTTGGTGCTGCTCTGCTAAAGGACCGCCTAGCCCTGAGTCCCACAAAGCAGTTTCCTCTTTATTCTACCTTCTTGTCTAAACAACTGGATCCCTTACTAGTTTACTTCTCAAGCTACTGTTAAAAGTTTACTTAAAATAGGCCTTGAATTGTGGTAATTATAAGCTGCTGTTGAAGAAATACTACAAAACATATCTGTTTTTACTCCAGCATTTAAAAACTGTTTTTCATTTTCTGTCCCATGCCACTTAGTTTGTTTTTGCTAATGTAGCCAACCTGTGCTGTTCCTTGCAATTAGCAACGATGTCTCACTTTAACTCCAAATTGCCGGGCAAACCTAAATGAGCTTTGATACAAAATGTAAACTTAAATCATAAGGGAGAAGGCCTTTCCTCAAATATGAGAAATAGAATGTAAAGATGAGCTTAAAAATAGCTGAAATAAAAGAACTTTCATAATAAGTTAAAAACTTCTCTTCATATCGAAAATCTCCTATCAGTTATCCTTTACACAGGCTATCAGATGAAATACAAACATCATGAGATTTCAAGCAACTCAAAGATAATCAAGGTAACAAACATCCTTTTTCACGAAGAG